GTATTTTTAAAATTATTCTGCACAATATTTTCTGCCGATGCTTGTTCATTTTACTTATACATTTAAGTAAAAGATTTTCTTTAGACAGTTAGGTGAAGTACGCAATTTTTTGTAATATCTTATAAATATTTATAATTTATATTTTTATTTAAACTTTCATTTTACAATGTTTATATACTGGTTCTATTTTTATTTACCTTTTTCTTTTGAATCCCTTTATATTTGTATGTTCTGCTTTCAATTATCAAGATACGATTTAAAGCGCGAAGATTAAATATTTTATGTCAACAAATTAATTTATGTCAACGTATTAAAAATAATATCAAAACATTTATCAAAAAATTTATAGCTATTTAATCATTTAATAATAAAAATAAAATATACAGAAGAATAATCACAGGCTAGAATATATGATATTACATCATTTAAAGGATTGAATTAAATAAAACATGTTTGCTACATTTTTTCAATAAGCATTTTCTTTAATTGTAGCAGTAATTCCACGTATTCCTAAAGTATATAATTTCTAAGAACTTTTCATAATTTTACAATTTTGTCTTCAAATAATTATTGAAAAATTAATTTACTACGCTTTTTTTATTTCTCACACAATAATCACAAAATGTAGAATTATATAAATTATTGTATTAATATCTACTTGTGTGATTTCGATAGTGCGTAGTTTATCAGTTTTCAGTGACGTTATGGAATTATGAAATTTAAACTATTCGGAAACTTTCTTAGGATGCTAATTTTAAAGATTTACGCCAAGTCCAAATATACATTTAAAAGTTGAGAGGCATTGTAAATGTATAGAAGCTAAGACATTAATTTTCAGGAGCCTTCGAAAATGAAAGTTTCGAACATCTGCGAAAAAGAAATTATTTCCTTGAGAAATAATTTATTTTTACGATGAACAAAAAAAAAAAAAAATTAATCAGCTAATTAATATTTAGTATCACATTGCATCACGAGTAATACATTTGTGCATCTGCCTAATAAAACCATTTAATTTTTCATGAATTTATTATATATAACTGTCACATAAATAAAGATAGAAGAAAAATCTAATTTTAAGTATTATCATAAATCATTATTAAATCTCATTCTGTCATTAATTAAATTTGAATTTAAATATTTAAATAAAATTCAGATTTTTTTATCTTTTTAAAAATTGAAATTTTAATTATAAAAATTTCATAGAATTAAATGTTTGTTCAAATTTGAAAAACTGACGTTTATTTTCAAAAAAAAAAAACTAATAACAAATATTTATAACAATTTATATAAAATAATCGAATTGTTTTACTGAATTTCAAACTTTAATTATATGAATTTATATTTAATTTTAACAATACCTTTATCTTACATAAAACTAAAATAGCGTTTAGTTATGAATTAATTAACAGTATTTGAAAATTAACTGCAATAACAATTGCATATCATAATGACAATAATGGCAGTGTATGAATAAGAAATAAGTAAAATCAAGTAAAACCGCTAAGACATGTCCTATTTATATTCATTTTAACATCTTATGTAAACATACATAAACAAAATTTTTGAATTCATGTGTCGATATGTATTGGAGTATTTGCACGACGCAGGTGACTTTAAACGAGGCACTGTCAAAAAATTTATTACAAATAACCTTCTAATATTAGAAAAATAATGCAATCAATGTGAAATGTAAAAACTTATAAAATATTATTTTATATGACTACGCAATTCGATCCCTTATTTAAATAAAATGTATAGTAGCATATTAGAATAAAACAAAACAAAAAATGTAAAGAATATAGAATATTAGATTGTTACGCGATAAATTTTCTCTATATCACGCATTTCATTAATCTAATTAAATATCGTGAATTAAAGTGTTGCCCATACATTATAAATAAAACAATACAAATATTTAACGAAAGTAATATTATAGAAAATAAATTGCAATGAAATAACGTGAACATATATAATGCGAAATAACAAAATTATGCTCATGTTCAAAAAAAAAAAAAAGTCTGATATTAATAAATCAATCAGCTTTAAGAATCTTGAAGCCAGTTAATTAATATTAATAAATTGTCATTATAGAAATACTCTCATACAAAACTTTAATAAAGACATAATATTTTATAATAATTGTTGGGTAAACTTTTTCTTTATAAAGTATTTTAATATATGAAATTGCCATATAATTTACCATATAATTAATAAGAAATGATAATTAGATTAACATGAAATATTACATATTACTGTAAAATCCATAAAAAAAGAAAAATGAATGAATGAAAGAAAAAACACATGTTTTATGAATATAATACACATATTAGAAACGAAAATGAGCACTAAATTCGAAAATTTTAAAACATTTAAGAATAAAAATAAATTTGCATGTTCTTATATGTGCATATTATCCATGCCGATATCATTACTTGAATATTAATTAAAACGAAATTTCATTATGATTAATTTCTTTATTGTGTTATAAACTTCTATTTTGTCTGATTCTTTTCTTGATTGAAAAATATTTTTAATAAAATATAATTTCTTACGAATGAAATTCAAAAGATATGTCTTTTAAAATCTGTCCTTACATTATTTATAAGAGTTTCTCTCTTATCCTAACATTTTCTCTCTCTCTCTCTCTCTCTCTCTCTCTCTCTCTCTCTCTCACTCACTCACTCATTCACTCACTCAATCACTCGCTCGCACGCTCGCGCGCACACACACACACACACAGATCTTCTTACTCTCTCTTCTCATTCAATTTCTGCTCTTTTTCTTGTTTTTATAATAATTGTTTTTAATCTATAATTTTTCTATAAAATTTGTTGTAATTGTTTATAACCTAACTTATTTTTTAATTGTTGCTTAATTCATAAAACATGTATATGACATTAACCATAATATATATTCTGAAATATATATTCTGAAATATTCTTCAAGCAAAAAATTATTCTGAAAATTATTTTCAAATTTATGTAATATTTTTCTGTTAATTATTTTAATCAATATTTTTTTTTTTTTTTTTTTTTATTACAATTACAAGAATATATTAATCTAGGAACGATGTTTTGTATATGTCAGCAATACTACGGCGTCTCTCTTCTTTCGCAATAATGTGACTTTGTTATTTCAGCATTAATTTCCTTTGCTATAAATCAAAGTCCTTAAGATTAGTCCTGTTGATGCTTGTCAATCTTATAATTCCGAGAGACAGTTGCTGAATATCTCCAGGTCACCCCGACCGCCGATATTAATTAGTGCAGAATCTCTTTTCGTTCCCTCGCTCTTCCTCCATCTCACCGTTGATGCAAATTTGAATTTTGATATTCTTATCCTTGAACGAAGATCGTCTTCTCGAAAGTTTTGCCACAGATTCTTTACTTATTCGAAATCTTAATTATCATCCGAGCTCAAATATTCCCACATTAAAGGGTTTACTTTGGACAAATGTAACGCTAATCGCTCGATTATTTTATTTTTTCGACGTCACGTATGCTGTCGAATCGTTAAATATCGACTTTATGAAAAACAATAAAAATATTAAAATATATTATGGTATACAAATTAAAAAGATCATTCCAGCTTTAATGTACATAAAAATAATACAAACAAAAGATAAAAAATCTAATAGTTAGATAATATAAAAGTCACGAGTATATTCGACTGGAGAATAACAGAAATATAATTTTTCAAAAATATAAAAGAAAATATGGTTATTTGAAAATAGTGTAACTTAAGTGCATTTTACCGAAATCAATAAATTACGAATGAAAATAGTAATAATAGTATTGATTTCGCTTTACCACTTACCATATCAGCAGTGTGTGTATTCTCATTGTAAATTATTTTTGAATTTCAAAACAACAGATATCTTTAGAAAAATATTTATTAATGAGTTGTAAAAGGAAATATATGGCAGCAATAAGCTTTGATGATATATTACGCTAATTTCTTATTAAATTCTCAAGATCCTCAATTTTTATTGTCATTTAATTATATATTTAATCCAATAAGTTTCTTGGATTATATTGAGAAAATTGTAACCTTCAATATTAATTGGAGAAAATATTTTGTATATTTTGTATATTTTGTAATATCGCAACTAAAGTATTAAATTCATTTTCAATTTGAATTGACTCGATGTTTTAAGAAAATATTAGACAACATTCATTTTTCAATTTATTGAATTTATCTGAAATTTATTTATTTTAACTTATAATTAGATAATTCTATGATATTCTGTGTTAATGTTCTAACATAACGTTTCTACAGATTACCTAAAAATAAAAAATCAAATAAATTTATTTCTTTATTTTAAACGAATGTGATTTTTCTGTTGGTAATGTAATTTTTTAAGAATTTTTTCTATAGAATTAAGGGCATTTATTACCTTACAGCAGTAACGAAACTCCTTATATTAAATGATATTTTTACATATTAATTTAATAATATGTAACATCTAATTTTTAAGTTTTTCATACAATGAAAATAAATAAATATGCTCCGTTATAAGCTCAACAATCAATAAATATGAATTATTTAATAGCAACAATATTTATCTTACCAGCATTGTTTCATTTATAGTTCATTTTATACGGGTATAAAAATAACTATAAAAATTTTATAAATGCATCTTAACAAAATGTTACGCAATACAATGACATTATAATATTAGGCAAACAGTAATATGATTAAAAACAAAGAATATTTAAGTGACATAACAATCTTAATTAATACTTAATACATTTTAAAGTCGGTATTTTTTTTTTTTTTTTTTCTGAAAACGTACAAGTTTTAAAATACCTAAATAGTCGAATATTTATATTTGTTTACTTTGTTTAAAACCGAAATATATTATGTCACCTTCGTGTCAACAAATTCATAGGCAAAAAAAAATACATATACATATATATATATATATATATATATATATATATATAATAGAATCGTCATGAAACATTATTTCTTTCTTGCGTCAAATTTCGTTCTTAAATTAATTTCACGAAAAGCATTATAAGTGTGCATGTATGTCGTAAAATAGCTGCAGCATAGTTATATGTAAGTATGATTATAAATGGATAAACGAAAAAGGAAATCAGCATATAAAATACGCAGAATCATGGCGGCGGTTCAACTTGCTAGACTACGTTTTCCTTCAGTGATTAAATTTTCTGACCGAGAGCTCAAGTGTTAAGATTTGATACAGTATCTTTATCTTTTCCAAATCGTTATGGTAAGCTTTGGCAAAAATAAAATTTATAAGTGAACCGATCTTGAATATTTTTTCGTATGTAAATACTTTTCTCCAATGCCAACATAACCTAGACATTAATAAGAATTTGCTTTTCTGGAATGTCGAATTGTAAACATTGTTACAGCGATTTAATTTTATAATTATTAAATAAATATAAATTTATGCGCTCTATTATATATTTTCAATATAATTTTACCTACAATCTTATGATCGTGTATCGATTAATTTTTTTAGCGCGCAATTAAAACGAACTATATATATTTATCTAATTTTCTAATTAATTTTATAAAAACTTGATTATGTACAGATAATTATGACAAATATTTAATCCATTTAAAAATGTAAAGTTCATTATATAATTAAATGATAATATATTTGTAAATTCTTTTAAATTACATGAACAATTATACAGAATATAATATATTATTGAAGTTTTAATATAGTTTATGTAAGTTATTTCAAAATTTATAAATAATATGTAGTGCCTCCTTAATATATATATATATATATATATATATATATATGCATGATTTAAAGTAATATAAATTGACTTTAAATTACTTGAAATTGCGATAGAATCTTATTTTGTATTTATAAAAATTAAAACTTTGTTAATTCATATTAATTGATAAATTGATGGATTAAGATATGGAAGATATACTTTCAAAATAATTTAAATTCTAGAGCTATCATAGTGGGCTAAAGGATGAAGATAATGACGACGAAGATGAAGAGGAACCTTCTTCTTCTGTACATAATGCAAATGAATTAAAATCATTTAGAAAAGAATGGCAAAGAGAATTAGAAACTTCTCCAAAACATATAAGTCATTATCAAACAAAATATGGTAACAATGAGAACGCATTGAAAAGTACAAATGACATATTAATAAATAATAAATTAGAAGAAATTTCTATAGAAACAAAAGTATGATAAATTTTAATCAAAAGACTAAATCTATACAATAACTTATACGCTAAATACGTGCAATTTATAAATAATTTATTCATTATTTTTCAAGGCAAAAACCTTATTTTTACAAGGCATCGAAAATGAACAATCAGGAAGACTTTATGAAGCTATACAATTTTATCGACGAGCAGTGCAGTTAGTTCCAGATATAGAATTTCGTCTTTATGAATCTACAAAGCCTAAGTTACGTGAAAACATTGATTCGGATGAGAAATTGACTTTGGAAACATCGTTTCATGATAATGGAGTAGATTTACAAGAATTAGATGGGGAAGAAAATGATGGCGACATTTTGGGAAGACTGGCAAAAGTTATAGGCAAGAATGGTTGTGTTTGCTCTCCGCACCTTGAACAAAGCGTAAGTGTATAAAAAACAGATGCATGTATTTTCATACATTATCCATAATAATAAATAATTAATTTAATTTGTAATATTGTATTCTATTTCGTTATTAATTAGTCAACACACATTTCTGCTCTGCCTATGGAAATTGTCTTTTACATTTTACGATGGGTTGTTTCATCTGATTTGGATATTAGAAGCCTGGAGATGATTGCCAAAGTCTGTAGAGGTTTGTATGTATGTGCTAGGGATGCAGAAATTTGGAGAATGGCCTGTGTACGTGTATGGGGTGTTAAGTGTGGTACATTTGAACCAAAATATCTTTCGTGGCGAGATATGTACATGCAACGTCCAAGATTACAGTTTAATGGATGTTATATTAGTAAAACAACTTATATAAGACACGGTGAAAATAGTTTTCAAGATCAATTCTATAAACCATGGCATCTTGTCTCGTACTTTCGATACTTAAGGTACCATTATTAAGTTAGATTTATTATTATATAAGCAAAGATGCGTAGCAGTTTTAAACATTTATCTAAAAATTGTGCTTTAATAAAAAATAATAAATCATTATTTAGATTTTTTCCTGAAGGAAAAGTTTTAATGCTAACATCAACCGATGAACCACAAAATTGTGTAAATTCCCTAAAATTCCGTGATCCTCGCAATAATTCAATATTAATTGGTCATTATCGATTACGGGATAACTGTGTAAGTTTAGTTTTAAAACGGCAAGAAATTAATAAAATGAATAGCACCTCAGAAATGAGTAGTCGTAGACGAAAACATCTTGAACCAGTGCACGATAGCGGCGAACAAACATTTCATGTGGTATGTTATTAATGAATATGAAATAATAATTGAAAATGTCAAGAATACTTTAAGTAATCATTAAATACTTAATATTTGTGTTCTTTCCTATTCAGTTCTAATCATATTTGAAATAATATACAAAATTATTATATTCAAATTATACACTAATTCCCAAACATAGTTACTAATTATAGTTTGTAGAATTACAATAACAATTTATAATATATTTAATTAATAGCTAACTATATCAATGAACATTGTATATGATCCAAATGAATATTTATTCTTAATATTAATATCGTATACTTTATATTTTATAATTTTTGTTTTATAATTTTGGAAAATAATTTTTCTTTAATTTGAATTGAAATTAAAATGTTATCTTTCATAGGAATTTGAAATTCAAAGCTACCATAAACGTCGAAATTCGCAATTATCATGGTTGTGTTACGTTATATATACAAAATATAAAAATGGACAAGAAATTCCAACGGAATTAAGCCTTGGAGGCAAATATCCTCCATTTCGTTTCCATCGAGTGAAGAGTTATACTCAAAAAAGTGAATTTCCTTTACAATAAATTTTTAAATAATTTTAGATGTGAAAAGAAACTAAAATTGTATATACATATATATATATATATATATATATATATATATATATATATAAATGAATATCAATCATGAATATCAATGACAAATGTAAATATATAAATTATATTTATTAATAAATTCAAAAATGTATATTTATTTTTCATAATCATGCCAATTTGTATTTGTATTGTATATATTGTATAAAAGTCAATTATCCATAGCAAGTTTATAAACAATTTTTAAAACATATCAATATCTAAATTATGTGTAACATAAGCTTTAGTGAACTAACGAGAATTTAATGTAAAACCATTGAAATTATACTTTATATTAAATTCTTTTTCATAACATAGTAAATCAAATATTTTTTCATTAAAACCAATGTAGTAAGATCTATAAAAATATTGAATTTAATAGTGAAAGTTGAATCGAATACTTACATATCATTAAAAGCCAATGGCATTATTGAATTAAAATTAGAGGGTGAAAAAAGAATTTTCATAATCTATGTTAAATCAATAAATAAAAAAATTGCTATATAATTTTTATAAAAATATATTTAGATATTTTGAAAAGTTTGCTTTAATCTCTGTATATTATGCTTGAGAATTTAATTGCAAATTACGAAAATTTACAAATATATTAAATCCTAAACATAAAAATGTTCTTAACGATAAATTTTGGAGAACAGAATTGTACGGCTTTCGGAACGATGTATAATTTATTTACTTAATAATCATATAATTATCCTATACAATAATTATACAAAGCTTCAGTGCGAAGTTACACTTCGCATATAGACTATGTTAAACATAATTTTTATCTAATCATTAAATATCGTACATTTTTACGAGGTTCAGCTCTGTGTTAATCCATTATTACGTATGTAATATCTTTTCGATATGTGCTAAAATTCATACGTTTATTTATTCATGATAATAAATCAAAATATTTAAGGAATAATATTAGTTTTTGTCATATTCTTATTAATAAATTAATTAGCAGTTAGCAAAATAGTACTACATAGCAGCGAAGATTAACAACGTATTTAGCGTTAACAAACGCATCACAGCCTTTCATGACAGTTGAAACGATGAAATTTTCATTTTTAAATTATCAGTTCAATAAATATTTAATCTTTTAAACGAAACTTTATGATCGTCTATTGAAAATAAAGGAATCGTCTTTTATTTAAGACTGAAAAAAGTTGTACAAATTTTTTGTATTTCAGTTTTATGAAATTGTAATTGTTATAATTTGCATTCGAGAATTGCTTTAAATTTACTTCATACTTCATGAACTTATATTATTAAATAGATTTTTTTTCACAATTAAATCACATTGGAGTTTATTTACATATGTTTCATATTTTTATTTAAGCAATTTTTTTTTAACAAAATATATTATCTGTTAAATAGTTAAAGATGACATATTTTTGAAAACCTTTGAAAGAGATATTAATTGTTAACGGCAAATCAAATATATCATAATCATTAATCCAAAAAGACAAATGAGAAATTTACAAAATATTTATTCTAATGAAATGCATATTGAATTGCTTTTTATAGTTACAGCATTGACTTTTTGTAATACAATTGTACTATAATTGTAAAATTCCAATTAATCTTGTTTCTTTTTTCAAGTATAAATATTTCTTTTAATATAGCATAGAGTATTTCAATTCCATTAAGAAAATTACAAGCATTTCATACTTTGTATCTTAATGTAAAAATGTCTTTAAATATTACTTACTACAACTTGGTCGTATGTATATATGTTTTTCTATGATTTAAATATAGCAATGTTTCTCCATTTATAAATATAATTAAGTGATATTTCAATAATAATTATACATGTTATAACTAAATCATCTTTTATATATTTAGAACATTTTCATGTTAAATCTTAAATTAAGAGAGAGAAAAAAAACTTCATAATTGTGATACGTAAATTTGCAATGTTTAAGTAATTCTTACAAATATTTTAATAATGAGGAGGGCCATTTAAATGGCTATTGCGTTATTTGTCGCTAATTCCTGAATGATAAATTTGAAATTGAAAAACCCAACATTTAACTGTTAAATATGTTAGCGGAGAAGCGTCTACAAACCTCCAATGGTATTATTTTTATTGCTTGCGCTAAATTATTGCTAAAAAAATATTTTATCGATGACAAACATTCATTTTTTAATATCTAAATTATCTATTCTTATGGACTATGAAACTAGTCTTAAATAACTCCATAGTAAGCTTGAAACTATTATAGTAATTTAATGAAAAACTGTATTATATACGCAAATTACACATAAACTGTAATTAAGGCTAGAAAAGTTCTATACTACCTTCTTTTATCACACGTACGTTATAAGTTCTTATGTAGATTCTAAATTAGATAAACCTATTCGTAAATTATGCAATAATCAATAGTTAATACTTAAAATATTTTTATAATCAAAGAAAGTATATAAAGTATAAACGAAATTCATAAGATAAACCATTTCTATATCCAAAATCTGTGTTTTATTGAAAGTTATACAAACATTACTTTTTTTACTTTACTCTAAAATTGTGAGATTAAAAAAAAAAAAGTCAATAAATCATATTCTACTATAAGTTAATTATTTTTTAATGAAACATTATAATACTAAAGTTATCTTATGAACTACAGACTAGTGTATAGAGAATATTCATATTCTTGTTACAGAAATATAAAAAATTTAATTTATAAAACGTGTATTTGAAGCGAAGAGCGTTTATTATTACAAATAGAAAACAAAAGAAATTAAATTAATTTGTATCATAGTAGAATTTCATGATAAATTAACTTTCATTGTATATAATGCACTATTTTTTTAATAAAGATCTTTGAATTTATATTTTATTATTTGAAGAGAAAATATTTTTATGAGTTAACAATAACAATATATAACCATAATTCATAAATATGTGAAGAGAACAACTGCAATTCAAACCAATGCAATTTAAAAGCCAATGTACCGAAAAGTTAAAGATTTTTTCATTTAATATAAGAAAACATATTAATAACAATATATTGAATGTTTTCATTCATTAAAATTACAATAGATGCATTTCAAATACAAAAGAAATTGTTTTTACCGTACAATTTATAAATAAAATTTTAAGTTATTTTATTGTTTTATTTAAAATATTATTTTATTTGATATACGTAATGAATTTTATATTTTTAATTTTATTTTTTTATCATCAATTTGAAAATGGTATTATTATTTAAATACTCGTCAATTATTCGACAATATGTTTTAGAAAAATGAAATTAAAATTTTCATTGTAATATTTTAACAAATATATTATAAAATTAATTATAAATGAAAACATATAAATCAACATAATATAATACAAAGGTATAAAATATTTTTAGATATTTTTTTATAATACATGGTGTATAAGTTTTTTTATGAGATATTGGAATCGTAAAAATTTTTAGGATAAAAAGATAAAATGACATTTGCCGTACAATTGACATAAAAATAAAAATAATAAAATAAAATAATTATATGAATTTGTATCATTTTTATACTTTTATATTTTGCAAGTAATATTATAATAATGAAATTTATTAATTGGATTGCATGATATTAATTAGCATATTCCTTTAAATAAATAATTTAATATAATATAATAAGTCATTATTAAAAATATTTTGTTCGATTTAATAAAAGATTACTTTAACAATTAAAATATCGAATTTTAACAACAGCAGAAACTTAATCAATTGAGATAATTGCAAAAAAAATTAACAATTATGAGTAAATTAAGCACGCATAAACAGCGGGTCTAATTATAAAAATTTTAAACATAAAATAGTATTTTAAATGTATATAAGGGTTGGTTAAAAATATAAATATTATGCTTTATATTTAAATAAAAATCTAATAAGCTGTCTGAGATTAAGTAATATAGTTGTAATGCTTACGTAATTATTAAATGGAAATTAAAATATTGTATCAAGATTATTTTACAAATTTTAAGACTGTTTTAAATAGAAAAATTAATTGTAAATGTTGAAAAATTATTTAGGCAAATATTAATAAATACAAAATAAATAAATCAAAAAATATTGTAAACGTCCTTATTAAATTGATAAATAATATTATTCCATGTATACTTATAATAAATTATGCAAAGATTTATTTACAACTCCTCTATTTTTAATGTTTAATTAGAAAATTTATAATTTATTTAAAGAATAAAGTAATATATATATATATATATATATATATATATATATATAATTGCCTTATCTCTTAAGATCCAAGCAAATGTTATTGGGATTTTTCTTTTATTTAATTTTTCTTATTTCAGAATCTTATTCAAGCAAAATTACGAAAATCTTACCTCCTTAGTATTATTAAATCTTTAAGTAGAAACTAATGCTTAACATTAGAACGGTACGTTTTTATCGAAAACAGAAGCAATATTGAACTTTCTTTAAGATAAGAATTTTAAAAGGCATAGTGTCTCAAATAGTCATAATGCTTAATTAGTTATTGATTATATGTTATCGCAATTAGTAGTTCGGAGATTATAATATTTTCATCTTCTATGTTATACTGCAATGAAAAAGTCAATTAATCTAATTGTATTATTGTAATGATAAGGTACGTAGGTATAATATCTAATGGTGCCTTAAAATGTATTACATATACCTCAAAGGCCTGCAAGTTATTGAACACTGTCACTAAAACAAATATCATCAACGATAACTTATTCCACGTTCAATGATACAGGCATTTCAGCGAATCGAATCTTCTCGCGATCGACGCTAAAGATCGTGATGGTCCATGGTCGAGGCGAGTCCCGCGTTGGTCATTGGCTGCTGGAGGCAAACCCCGGGCTTTGTCATCCAAGCAAGGTCTTGAAGTGTAGCAGAGTGCATCGAGCAGACTGCCAGCACGACCATCACATGCATTATGTTGTGAGAGTTGAGGAGCAAGTCTACTTTCCCTGGTATCCACTTCTCTGGGATGCGCAGCGCCCCGATGGTCCCGCCGATTACCGTGATTAGGTCCTGCAATGAATTACGAGAGACCGTCTGTAAGGCAATCGGTGAGAAAAGTCCTTTGGTTCTATGATTTTCGATACTGTCCACGCTGCTTCCCTCACCATTCGTTACTATCGCGAGAAAGCCTTTCATTAAATGCTACGAGCTGCCTAGAATTTACAATGCGTTTGCTTTTGGAAGATTTTCTTTAATAATTTCGCTACGATATTCACTCTACTTATTTGGGACTCTTACATCAATTTATGATTTTCCAATTCATTATGCGATAACCGATCAAATAATACCATTAACTAGAATGAAAAAGCACTGTCATAAAAATAGTCAAATTTATAAAAATATTTTATTCTTAGGTCTATGATATAATAATACATTCCCTTGTATTTGAAATTAAATTAATTGATGAAACATATAACGGCAAGTTCAAAATCACTGTCCTTATAATAATTTTTCTCAAATTTTTATCCAAAAGTATAACGTGCATATATATACCATATCGTAAAAATGATATATTACAGAAGAATTTTTTTTTAAATAATTTGAAGTATTAGATAATTTAAGGAATAATAATTCTAGTAATAAAGTAGACATAATCTGTAGTAACTATAATAAATAATATTTTTAAAAGCTCATCTCGTTTCACTTAATTTTTACAATTAAATTAAGTTATCTTAAAAATAAATTTGAATACTATCATAATTTTATGCAATTACACTCTATGATTTTAAGTAATAAGTGTGACTTTTATATATTTATATTCTATCAATACACTTTGATAATTTCATAATATAATATAATGTAAGGGATGACAATACTCTTTATATTACATCAGATTTCTTATTCGTATTTTCATTAAATATTCAACAACTACTCGACTCAATTAACAAACCGTCTTCTTCTTTAAATATTGATCTCAGCTAAGCATGTATTTGTTGGCAAACAGTGTCTATCAATATAGTTACTTCAAATCTTCAAGATTAATCGAGTGGAATAGTTTTGAACTATCGATTACATTCTTATAACGTAAGCTGTTATGTTAAAAACAAAATTTTAATAAACTTCCAAATTGTCAAGGACAGTCTTCATATATTACGTATCTAACAATCCAATTTAATATGTTTCCCTTTATCACTTTATATTAATTGGAATATAAATAAATATGAAAATGTTATCATTAATCATTATTTATATCAATATTTAATAATCAATATTTAATATTTAACAAGTCATGTCTTACTTTATTCATACTACTAAGCATTGCTATTATTTTATATTTTTCTCATGCACTGTAATATACTAGAAATTTATATTTGCTTAAAATAATCTATACCTGAAGTACAACCTGAGTAAATGCTTCAGGATTTCCACCACCAAAACCGAAACACCGGAAGATGAGAACCAACATACGCATCATGAAAGGCGGCGAAAAACACAAACGTCTTTCCCAAGGCGACTTTGCGTGCATCGCCTAAAATCATATTGTCGCTTATTATTTCATATGATTTTTGTTTACATTATTAATATCGCAAAGCTCTCATAATATCAAGCAAAAACATTGATTGTAGATATTAGTTCTTATCAAACACGTTTATTTTAAAAACTGGCAATGGAATGAACTTGAATGAATATCACAATGAATTTCACATTGCTAATTAAAATAATGACTCTACAAGCTTACATTGGATTCAAATTTTTTGAAGTATTTATTTTGAAATTTGATCTGCCGTTACTCTATCTTTATGGAACATAGTTAAAAAAAAAACACGTTATATTAATAATTACTTTACACGCGCGCGCGCGCGCACACACACACACACACACAAAAACAAACAAACAAACAAACAAACAAACAAATATATAAATGCAAAGGTAATGATTTAGAAAATATCAATGATGCTGATATTGGGAAATTTATATTATAAATAAAAATAGAAGTAAAAGTAGGGTGGCGTTAAATTCACGTAATAATAATCAATTTGCAAGAAATCTATTTGGAAATCAAATTTTACAATATTATCTTAATGCAATGCCACAAACCATTATTTATATGACAATATTTAGTAAAGTGAATAGATGTGCATTATTACATAAAAAACCTTTTTCAAAATGTAAAATTATTTTTTTAATCTTTATAATAAAAGATGTCTGTTAATATTATATATATATATATATATATATATATATAATTAAATTGAGTGTAGCAGTAAATGACGAAAACAAATTTCATATAATAAAGTCAAATGTTATTTTTAAGTGAAAGATTTATTTATGTGAATAAAAGCATGAGTGTGATTAAAAACAATACTTATAATTACTTTAAAAAGGCCCCAAACGCTGAGAAAACAGTAGGTGGCAATACATAAATACCAAAATATGTTTGGCAAGCAGTGCACCGATGCTGCAATCAATGGCATTGCTCCTAAACAAATACAAAATATCATTTTTATAAATCAATAGGTAAAATATTTAAAACAAAAAAACAAAAAAACAGAGAGGTATTTATTATTATTATATATTAGATGGATAAAATTCATATACTTCATTCGAAAAATTATTTGTAATTCAATTTATTATTTTATAGGATATAATAGAGACAGTGCGTTCGTTAAATATTTTATGTAAAATGGAAAAACATCCAAGAAGATACTAGACACGAATAAGTATTAAGCATAATATTCAAATTATTTTCAGTCTTTTTTAGTTTAACATTAACTAGTACCGATAATAAGATAAGAAAATTATTTTATGATAAACTGAAAGAATTATTAGTATATGTATAATAAATACAATTTATACTTTATGATGTTTAACATTTCCTTTCTTATGAACATTGGAACAAATTTTCAGAAAATAGATAGTGTAAAAGTCGATTTTTGTTCGACGAAATTATTTGCCGAATTATTATATGGTCGTAGTCCCTAAACTCAACACTATTTATAATCTATGAGCATACATACATAAATAATTTCATGCCAAACACTTAATATATCTTATATACATTTAAACATTATTGCAAAAGTCTTTATAATCTCATAAATTTTTTACCCTCTTTATCGATTTATTATATATTATTTAACATCAAATCAATGATGGCTATTTAAAGATAATAAATTGAGGGAATTATTTAAAGAATTGATTAATAACACAAAATCAATACGTATTTCTTTTTATATTCTATGATTGATTTTATTTACACATTTAATTGAAATTTAAGAAATACTTAAGTCAAGAATGTAACTTACTTTTTAAATACATTTAACATCAATATTTTTTAAAAAACAAACTAAATTTAATTATCACAATAATTAAATTCCACATTATAGTCTACAAAGATTTCTATATTATATATATATATATATATATATATATATATATATATATATAATTAAATATTATATAATTCTTATTCTAATGGTATACAAAGTTTAAAAATATATATCATAAATATCATACATCAAACAACAAATAACTCATTTGGTTATAAAAATATAGAATCAAAAAACAAGAGAATATATAAAATGATTAATTACTTTTAGAACTAAATTTAATTTAATAAGGCCCAACGTTTTCTGATACTAAATATAAAAATATAATATTGTTATTTAAATTGACTTTTATATTTTTAATTAATTAGATTAAAGTTTAATGGACTTATAAAACTACTTTAAATTAAGTTCTTTAAATCCTTATAATGTACATTAAATTTTTATATACATCGTTTCTTGCCTCTATTCCAATACTTTTGAATTTAGAGCATAAAAACATTATTAATCGTATTTAATAAATATAAAGATCATAATGAAAATAATTTTTTTTTTAATAATATCCAATCGTAAAAGTTGTACAAAAAGGTCTGCATATTTAATTTTTCGATTTCCTTTTACATCGAAAGTACATTATTTATTCCATATTGATTATTGAAAAGAAAATTGTTACGATTATTAATTCTTATTACAAAATATATATATATATATATATATATATATATATACGTGTGCGCGGGGGTGGGGGGAGTGATTTTACTCTCTTACTATTATTCATTTTAAAAAGTAAATCGTAGTCCTTTTATAATATAAAAGTGTGCATGTTAGATTGTGATAAATTTGTAATATATACTTTAATTGATTTAACACGCTCAAACATAATTTATGTTACAACCAATAAAATAAGTTACAAAGTCATGTCACTATATTCTGTTTGTAAATGAATTAAAAAATTATCTTATTGTATTATTGTTATAAGGCTTATATAAAACTAGGTCACAAATTTAATAGCAATAACAATTGTTATTATTATACATAACAAGTACACTTATGCACAGGTACTAGTTTTAGCAATTGTAATTCTTTAACTCTGAAGAAAAAATACAATTCACAACGATAAGAACGTGTTAGTGAAAAGTTGATAAGTAAAAATACAGGAAGGCTCCGTGTGGCACGCAAATAGGCAAATATAAAGAAAAGCCGCCGTGTACTACGAGGTTAACCGGAAAAGGGCAATATTTGTTTAAAAACTAAAATTTTATTTAAATGTGCAAACATTAGTGTTAATTTGAATCGAGGACAAAAATAAAAAGAGAAAAATCTATGCTTAAGCGAATTACAGCAAATAATCGAAAATTATAATTTTTTTTCTCCTATCACTGTGTATTCGTAATTATTATGAAAATACCTTTCACTTTATTGTTTGAAAAATAAATAAATTTAACTGATAGATGATCGAATAATATATTATTATTCCAACTAACGATTATATTTCACTTTTTAATATATCTTTTTTTGTTTAATCGAAATAATTTAAAATCTCGAACTTTGCAGGAGATATAAAAATAAAATATCCTATCTTTCAATTAAATTAAATATATATATATATATATATATATATATATATATATATATATATATGTATATATATGTATATATGTATTTAATTTTATTTAA